TCTTCTTCTTATCATAGCATACCAACCAGCGAACACCCAGCCAAGTTTAGTTAGCCAGTTTGAGTATTCGTTACAATTACTTATTTTAGTCTTTTCTTATTTTATAATATAGTTATTATCTTTTAGTATTTCATTTTATTACTTAGAATTATTATAAAATATATAAAATACTCGAATTTATTTTATAGATTTAAATAAATTATATTACTTCTCTTCTTATATAGTTCTTTTTTATTCGCTTAGTAATTATATTTCTTCTTGCCTAGACTCTTTTTATCTTTACCTTTAATATTCTATAGTTTTATATATCTTTTACCCTTAAAGATTACTTAGTAGCCTATAATTTTAATTAGTTAATATTATTACTAATATTTATAAAACTAATACTTATAAGTAATAATAAAATATTATATAAAATATAAAGTATAGAAAAAATCTTAACTTAAGCCTTAATTATAAAGGGCCGAGGGTAGGTAAGAATCTTAAATTTAGTCTTTATTATACTAAAAATACGCTTAATTATATTATATAACTAAGTATAATATAGGTTAAAGAGCTTCTAAAGGTTTTAAAGCTTTCTATACTCTTTTATTCTAACTTATTTCTATTCTTTTAGGTAATATTATATACTAGAATAAAATATAAGATAGGTATTATAATTTATAAACCTAGTATTTTCTAAGATATAATAAATATTAGGAATTATAAGTACTTTTATATATATTATATTAATTTATAAAGTCGAGTTCGTAGTACTACCTTTCTAGTTAAATAAAACGTTTACAAACTTTATATTAAAAGTGTATACTACTAGTACGTTTTAGGTAAAATATTTATCTCTATTCTTCTATAGTACTCTATTTTTATAAAAGGGCGAAAGAATAATATATATACTATTAATTATACCTAGGTATTTATCAAACTAGAGAAAGTATTTATAGTTAAATAAGATCTTTAAAGATATTAAAGCATTTACTAAAAGTAGAACAATATACTTATTATAAAAAGAGACTCTTAAACTAAGGTTATAAAAACCCGGAGTTAAAAGTTATCTAATAATTATATAAAAATAATTATAGATTATAGAAGTACTTTTATAATAGTTAGAATTAGTATATATATATATATATAAATATAATTAGTTAATAAAAAAGTATAACCTTTAAAATTACTTAGCTAGTTTTCGAATAAATAAATTACTATAAACTATATATAAAAATATATCTAATTACTCTCGAGTTATTATATACTAAGTAGAAGCTAATCTAATCTCCCAAATTAATAACTCCTCTAGTATATTAAGGGCCTCTTTTATAATATAGAGATTATTATATAATTAACTCGAATAGTTATTTAATAGCTTATTTATCTAATATTTATTACTACTTAATTTAAACGTATATTATAGTATTTTAAGGAAGTAGTTCTTATACTATATATAGCTATTAGAGCTATAGTTTTTATACGCTTATTATATATATAACGTTTCTAAAGAAGGGATTTTATAATTAATATATAAATATAAACTTATATATATAAAGAAGTAGATAAAGTAGTAGTAGTAGTAATAGTTATAATAGATAGAATAAGCGAGCTAGGAATATAGGATTCTGAATATAGCTTAAAAGCCGTTTTTACTTTTTATATAGGACATCTTAAAAGAAGCTAGATTACTATATTCGTAGTATTTACTTTAAATTCGATATACGAGCTAAACCGGTTTAACATTCGATACGAATCAGGTCTCGTATCAAGTACCGAGTACTAAACTCTAATATATATAGTAGAACCCAGAATCGGAATCAGGATTTTTTTGAGCCGAGCAGGCTATTATGAATCCCAGGGTACGCTACCGAATAATCCAATTTACCTCAATTTAAGCCGAACAGGCCAGGCCGTAAACAATTCTATATCTTCCCCATCTTCCATCCCCCACTTCCTCCCTCACCCTCACATCCCACTAGATTTTCAAGTTTTGTACATAGGATGAAGTAAAAGGGTCTAGACAGCTCGGGTCTCCCCCCCCTTGTCACTTTCTAATATACCTCCACATGAATCGGACAATTCAATTCGCTTAGAGGGCTATATTGTGGAGTTATACCCTGCCTATAACAAGTTGTATACAGGGGAGGGGGCGACGTGAGCTATCCAGACCCTTTACTATATACTTTGAGCCAAACAGAGTATAAATCCGAATTATGCCGAGAAAACCGGTACGAGTACGTAGCTTCATCTAATGTATATAAGGGACGACCTTTTCCACCCCAAGAAGAGGAGATCTACTTATATCTTAGTCCAATCTCACATACTGGTGCACCAGTCCAAGATACCAAGATACCAACGAGTAAGCGAGAAGCATCATCAACCTACCTCTTCGTCCAATCTTATAATTCTTTCATTCTTCTCGAACAACATTAACATACCAATCCACCAACCCCCAGTCCTCTCCACACAGTCGACTACTCGTCACCATGTTCTTCTCCAAGCACATCCTCCCAGTCCTCACCGTCTTGCTCGTCTGAGTTGTAGAAGTCCAAGCTATATTGAATTGCAATTACGCTACCTGGGAGCGCGGTTGCAGGAATGGAAGAATCCAATATCCTAGGCCTGATGATCCCAAAAACCCCTAACCTAATACACAAATTTTATGCTGTGAGCAATGTTAGAGGGTACTGGTATACTAGATTGAAGCCTGGGGGTTTTTTTGGAGGAAGACTGAGACTCTAGTTGGAAAATATCGACTGTCGCTATACATGCGTCCTTTTGTATAGGAGAAGTTGTTCGGTTGCTGGTTGTCTTGTTTGTTTGGAAGATATCGACTGTCGCTATACATGCGTCCTTTTCTCGCAGGGGGTGTGGGGTTGGGGGCTCCAAATTCAAATTCAAATTCAAACTACGTTGAGATTTGTATGGGATATTTCGTATGAATCCTGATCACAGTATTCGGAGTGCTATTTTCTGTTCATGCAATGAACGAGCCAAACGTTTTGTAGACTCGATACGAGGGGTGACTCGTATACAGTACTGAACTCCAATTTTGCATGGCGCACCCTGAATCTGTATTCGGAATCACGTCGAGCCAAACAGGCCCTAAGGAGTTCTGAATTGATATTTTATAGGTGCACGGAGAATAATACATTCGGCGGGATCATGCTTACCGAGGGATCGACGTATGACTCTAGGTACAGTAGCAAGTTATGCCAGAAATCTTTCGTCCAAATGAAAATTTCCCCCTTTTTGCTCGATGACAATATGGTTTCAAGTGGTGATTGAGATCGGTAGTTGTATCTTTACTATATATGAGACCAAACAGCGCTATAATTCTATGTATAACGTTTTCAAGTAAACCACATTGTAGTAAACCCGGCCCGGTAACGTCACTCTGATTGGTTGAACCACACCAAGCTCCTTTTTAAAGAAACAAAACGACTGCTTTCCAAACCAACAACACACATTTCTCACCTTCACTCTTACCAAAGAGGCACTGTAACAAGACATCCCAGACACAATTTGGACGACCAATCGGGATTTAGACAAAAGAAAAGAAGACCCAACCATTGGTATTGTAACGATGCAAATCACGAATTCCCCGACCCACGTATGCATCGGATAAAGGAAGGTCAGCGTAATCGTGATTGCTGAAGATAAATCATCCTACCTACATTGCATATTCTCCGCATATAGTACCGAGACCTGCGTCCAATTGTGGATCCTGTCAGAGCAGGCCCCCAGGAAGGCGCCGAAGACGTTTACCAGACTTTGAGAACTTGTGGAAGGAGGTAGATAGGTACGTTGCCATGAGGTTCGAATTCTAGACCAAGTGGACCCGTGGGTCATGTTCTTGCTTTCTTTTCAGTGAATCTTGTTTTTTTTTCTCATCTCACATGTTTTTGTCATAATTTGCTCTCTCAGATTCTTTTTGGTAAAACATACGTCACAGAGTGATACACTGACAAGATGGTGTTGAAGCAGTTTATTAGCTCTCAATATCGTGCTTTCACCATGCCGGATGACTTCTATGATCCGGTTACCAATGTCACTATCTCCATACCACCATGGAGCACTCGACTTTGGGAATCGGTGAAGCATCCCGATCCAAACGTGCTGTTAGCCATGGTTCTGGGTCCGCTTCTGATGCTTCTGATTACGAGATATTTGAGCGGACGACCGAGAGAGGGAAGTGGAAAGGAGAGGAGTGCTTGGATGCTGCCGTACTGGATTCCGTTTTTGGGTCATGGCTTTCATTTGTGAGTATTCCCAGGGCTGGATTTGGGATGAGATCTCATGACTAACCCCAAGCTTAGTCTATGGGATCCTGTGTCACTATTCAAGGAAGCGAGGTTAGTTGGAGAAAATTCGTTCTGGGATTTGAGTAACGCTGATACTGCTTTAGAGAACAAAGTCCACATTCTATCTTCTCATTATATCTTGGAGGGACCACTCATAACATAAGTAGGCCCACAATTCCATACTTTCCCCCATTTCTGATTCTGGCCTTCAGACGTTTTAGGAGGAATTTGAGATATCAGATATCTTACAGCATCAGCTAATATGTCCAATAGTATCTGATCCAAAACTTGTCCAGAGGTTGTAATACCCATTTTCTTATCTGGTTGGTTGACGTGACTAACTCTTATGTAGTGTGATGGCACAGCGTGAATCTCACGTGCAATTTACGCCCGTAGCTCGGACAATAGTGCAAAGAGTAAGTGAAATGGACCCACATCATTTAAGTCTCATAGCTAAACAATTGTAGTTCTTTGGTCTTCCTAAAAGTAGTAAAGAGAAATACGATAAAGCATGGGAGGTATGTCTTCATTTATCTGCGGTCTCTTGTTCCCGGATCTTAACTGATCTCAACAGGAGTTAAATTCCAGCTTTTCATACATTGCAAGAGACCCATTCTTTGGAACTCTTCTGAACGGAACTGTGAAGAACATTGAGAACAATGTATCCCACATGATTTCATTCGTGGACACAGCCATCGACCTCGAACCCTGGGAGAAATGGGGAAATGCTTCTTATATTTCAGACGAAGAAACTGAAATTGATTTTGCAGCAATGATCCGAGATGTGATGGGTCATTGTTCGGTTCCCGTAATTTATGGAAGTGCTTTCATCGAAAAGTTTCCTAATGTTTTACATGATGTTTACGAAATGGACAAGGGAATGCCATATTTCCTCATGGGTTTTCCATCTTGGTTCCCTTGGCCTTCTGTTTTGAAAGCTCATATTGCTCGGAACAGAGTTTGGCAGGCTTTGGATGATCAGCAGAGAGCTTTTGACGATCTCTCTGAGGGAAAAGAGATAGATTACAGCTGGGGTGATCTGGATGATGTGAGTGACTTTAGCAAGAGGAGGCATGAGATATACAGAAGTAAGATCTTCACCCGCACCTGGATTTCATACCCTAATCATTCAAATCACAGAATACGGCTTCGAAGTCCGAGAACGTGGAGAGTTTACAGTAAGTCAGCTTTTCTGTACTCCCCTACTTGAAATTCACTAATAACAAAAATCACAGACCCTCTGGGCTCTAATAATTAACTCTTCCCTCCTAGTCTACTGGCACCTCCTCTATATTCTCTCAACTCCTGATCTCCTCTCTCGTCTTCGCACTGAAATCGCTCCCTACGCAACAGTAGAAAAACCTCTCTCCATCGGTAAAATCTCAGAGGCACCACGATTATCCATCAACCACGAAGGACTAGCCAAAAACTGCCATCTCTTCAAATCCACATACTTCGAGGCCTTGAGACTTACAGATCAACCTTGGAGTGTAAGGAAGGTTTCTAATGATGTTGTTATCTCTGGGGATGGGGGTGAGGAAGAGGAGAATGGGGAGAATGGGGAGAAATACGTTATGAGAGAAGGAGAGTATATTACTATGCCTCATGATTTGCATATGCGGGATCCGATTTACTTTGTAAATCCGGAAAAGTTTGAACCTGAGAGGTTTTTGGAGAGGGATGAAGAGGGGAATGGTAGGGCTGAGATGGGCAGTATTGTATGTTATTCTCCCTTTCCTTCTTACTTACTAATGCCTTCCACCACCATGTCATATAAACCCATAACTGATCAAGATAGCGGCCCTACGGCGGAGGAGTCTCCCAATGTAAAGGCCGTGGCCTCGCAGAAAGAGAGTGTATCTCTCTCGTTGCTGGTATCATTGCATTTTGGGATATTGAACTGGTGGATAAGAAGAAAGGATGGGTTGTACCGCCTCAGGTTAAGACTACGGCTGTGGCAAGACCGTTGTTTGACACGAGAGTTAGGATCAGGAGGAGGAAGTTTGAGTGGGAGGTTTGATGGAGGGGTAAAAAGAGAGCCGGTGGTTAAAGTGGAAGGCTCGTCAGATCTCAATTTTGATGTAGCCTGTTTCAAGCTTAAGTTTAGACGGAACTATTCTATTCTACATGGAGATGTACACATATCTCAATCGGATTGGATTGCAATATCAGGTTGCATTCCACACATTGTTTACAAGATGCTTTAACCGATGAATATACGCATATCACTTGAATGGAAGTAACGTAAGTATAAACATGTTAGGCAAGAGACGTGGTCGTTACTCTGTATATACTATATAGAAAGTTATGATACCAAACGTCCAGCAAAAGTAAGATATATGTCTTAGGATACCCAGACCAATGAAAAGTACGACTTAAGTGAATATTCCAAACTCTCTATACAACTATCTTAGGGGTGCGAGGCCTTGAAGATAATATGATTCTAGGAGAGGCGTGTATAGAGTAATGACCACGTCCCTTACCTAGAGACTATCTAAAAGTATGGAAAGTTTCGATAACGATAGAAAACCAGAAACTATTCCCATGGCTATTGCCAATTTTATAACAAGCTACCGGCAATTGGAAAGAGTAAGTGCATGCGAATAATAAAGGAAGGAACCGGTTCTAGAATTCCAGGTTTCGTGCAGCTCATCAGTTTTCCAACTATTCTCTAATGATTCAAGATACCAAGTTATTAACTTATTAGATCATTTGTGAAAATAGGAGAAATAGCCGTAAGAGAATTCGGTTACCCAAAGCTAGTGAGCTAGGCAATTGAATCTAGACATTTTAAAAATCAAGTTTGAGTTTAAATGAGGGCTTCAACAAGAAGCAATAAAGGCAGTTTGAACCGAAGCACAATCACAACCAAGAATAATGGCGGCCAAGAGAATGTCAAGTTGTCCAACAAAATGGAGACGAGGCCTTCCTCAAAGTCAATCCCTATCAGACCGCCAAGACCCCCAAAGCCGACACAACGGGATCGATAAGACAAGCTCCCATATCTCCCCCCAAATAAAATTCTATGTCTTCCCCAATCCAACAACAACAATGTCTACTACTCGCCTTACCTTCCTATACCCTCGCCTCTTCCGCTCAATTCGCACCTGCGAGCCGACTGCTCAAACCCTCCTTCGAAGACCCCAATTGCCGTCGCGACAATGCATGAAAGCGAGGGGTTTCGCAAAGGCTACCCGAAGGGAGCAGAGGTTTGTGGAGAGGCATGGGAAAGCGGTTGAGCCTTTCGTGGCAGATGTAGAGACGGCGGATGGGGACAAACTGGCTGGAATCGATAAGGAGGCAAAAGAGGCAAAAGAAGGTGGGATTGAGAAGAGTAAAGCTATGAATCTGGATAAGAAAGGGACGACGAACGAGGGGCAAGAGAAAACCACGCCAATTTCGAATATCGCTGCGGAACCACTTTCAGAGGAAACACAAGCTGCTGGAGAGATACTGAAAGAACATTTTTCATTGCCTTTCGAAAAAGTTGTTAGTAAAGAGGCAAAGACGCCAATTGGACAAAAGACTGATGCTGGGCCTGGGGATATAAAGACACCTACGGAAACGATTCTTGAGATGCCACCACCAAAGACTCATGAGCAGGAAAATGCATTAAAGCCACCACATTTACAGACTCCGCCCTACGTTCACCATTTTGATACATACAGCTTGGTGCAGCAGGTTGAGAAGGGAGGGTTTACGATGGATCAGAGTATTACTGCTATGAAAGCTGTGAGGGCTCTCCTGGCGAAGAATCTGGATGTTGCGAAGGCGGGGTTGGTCAGCAAGAGTGATGTTGAGAATGTGAGTTTTGGAAAAGTTACGCCAATAATGAGTGTGGGTTAATTTTGTTGTAGGAAACCTATCTCTTTCGGGCTGCTTGCTCGGAATTGAAGACGGAGGTTCAAAATAACCGAAAGCAAAACGAGGAGTCCATGCGAAGAGAAAGAACGCTGTTGCAACATGAAGTTGATATCTTGAATCAGAAACTTACTCAGGAACTGCTGGGTCTGAAAGATGATTTGAAAGGTATGTTTGATGACCGAAAGATGGCAGTCAGACAAGAGCAACGCGCAATGGAAAGTGCTGTAAGTGTTTCCCTGACCCTAAGTATGAGCGACTCGCTACAAGCAAACTAACTCAGTAACAGATCCAAGAAATCAATTACAAAATCACCGTCTCACTAAATAGTGACAGCAAGTCTGAAGTAGAAGGCCTTCGCTGGATTCTGACGAGAAGATCCGTGATTGGCATTTTGATCATGGCTTTCATGGTCTTGACATCCTTGCGATATGCGAGCTATAAGTCTCATGAAGCTGAAGAGAGACGAAAGAAACTTAAGAAGGCTCCTAAGAAGGACGACCATGTCCCCCGGGATTTGTCACCTCACAATGTTGCAGAAATTCTGACGGCAAATTAAACCTGGGATACTGATCTCATGGAGGAATAATGGGAGGATAGACAGAGTTCACCCCAATCATCCAAGTGACTTCTTTGCGACCATTAAGGAGGACGAACCGTCATGTTAGGGATGCATATCTATCTTGTTGAGGATCGAAGCGAAAGAGTGGGCGGCCGATGATTAATTACCTTTCAGCCTGGCATAGACAGACGAAAAACCCGTTGTAGCAACTACAGTCGATACATCAAACCCCGAAGACCACAAACTTATAGACTAGCAATGTAAAGATATTTCATAAAGGCCGAGAAAAAAGGCTAAGAATAACGAGACAACGTCTTTCACAAGACCTTTGTGAAACCATTTGATCCCGACACACCATGTGCGAAACTCCCGATTAAGCGATGAATCCCAACTGAAGTGCCACGAGGTTGCTTATGTATGCTACCTGCAGTCATCAATTGCATCACCTTCCCCAACCAACCACTTCACATATTGCCCTTACTCGGATACATGTGCTTTCTTCCCAACGGTGCAACGAAGTTGTTGATTACTATCGCTGTTTATAGTTCTGTTATTTGTGTATTACCAACCATATGTAGAGCGTATTATGTGAGTATTTGTACACACCTAGCTTATGATAATATCATTCTAGAAGCCTTCGCACAACTAAAATAGTTTTATAAATGGTTTAGAATAGCTGTTAAATTTTCTTTTCATTTACCTACGTATTCTAAGACGAGTAAGTCCATGAAACTAGACGCTTAGTATGATAATATTTTATGGTGTGCACAGGGTATCAACCAGGTTTCTTACGAAATGAAAGCACAAGTCTAACGATCCTTCCTAAACCACCACGCCTCACACCTCACTTCTCGATTTAGCACCACCACGCACGCTTGACGCCGGGGTAGCCCGAACAGCCACATTATCTACTGCTCTCTTTCCCTCAGGTGCATCTCGACCCAACCTGTGTTCCACGTACACGTCAAATTGTTTGGAATCATATTTTCTCATCGCGTGGTTTTCGTTATCGCCTTCCTAATTTGATGTGAGGGGCAGAAAATCTGCTTACGGAAGGAGTGCAAATATGAACTCCGAAGCTGGAAATGCTGGTGCTAGTAGACCTGTGAGTATTTGGCAGCGAGCGGGAAGGAAGTTCAAGTTTGTTTCGAGTAACAAGGAGGCGGAAGGACAGGGGGAAGATGGTAATCATTATTTCTACTTTTGGCTGATGGGTGTCTGTCGGCTTCAAGGCTTGAGATTTGAGAATTAAGGGCTGGGATGGTTTGTTGTGGTCTCACACTTTTCAAGCTCATCTCGTACTTTGATTGATTCTGCTGAGATTTTGAATATGTTTTCTCCTTCAGTTTTCATATGCATGATCCTTATAAGCTGTTCTCTCTGGATTTGTTATTCTGTGTTCACTTACTGCTAACTGGCTTCTTCACCTTATGCATTTTTTACTTCTCAATGTCTTGAGCTCAAACACCTAGGCTTATACTCACTAAGAATATCTCAGTAGGAGAGAAAGAAGAAGACATTGCAACAACAGCTTTATCTGCAAAGCAAAAACGAAGAGCCCAAGTCCGGAAGGCTCAAAAGTTCGTCTTCCTCAACTCTTCTTCCCCTTTCTACACCTCATCCTTACACTTCATACTAATTTTGAATATAGAACACAGAGAAATAAAGGCAAACTATGCGTAACCTAGCCACCAGACCCATTCCAAATCATCCTTTACCTCGCCAGACAGAAAGACTAATCATCTACTCAAGTAAACATCTAGAACAAGATATTATCGACCTCCGATCCTTAATTGCAAAGGCAGAAGCAGAGGCTCTCCTCGCTCAACAAGAAAATAACGCTGTCAGAAAAGCCTTGCTACAAGCCCAAATTCCGATCTCGCTTCCTCAACAACCAAGTCAAAACACAGGATTAGACCAACCATTTACATTCAATCCCAAAGGCCCACTAGAACCGCCTCCCCTAAACATCAATGCCGGAGCTATGAAGCCCCCATCAGGCACTCAAGAGATGCAATGGTTTCCTACTGAAGGGAGTATGAAAGTTAGTACTTTCTTTGACCAAGATTTGAGCAAGACGATTTTGAAAGTTAGTCCAAGGGAGAATAAACCAAAGCAGACGGAAGGAGGTCAAGGTCAGGGAACGGCAGAATTCGACGCTTTCCCAGAGAACATTTTGAAGGAGATGGAATCAGAGGGGGAATCAAGATCCCTGGCTACCAGCCTGCCAATTGGGAAACAACCGCCTCCCGAAGAACGACAGCCACAAACAAGCATATTAGCAGAGAAGGAGATGGACTTCCCGGCTACAGCTGTGAATTTCATACTCGCGTCAGTCCCTCGCTTCCCTTAATATTTCTCCAAACTAACACCACCCCCAGCCTCGAACACCCATGCCGCACCCACTTCCACGCCCCAGACCCAATCTTCTCCCCCACAACCCCAGAAACAGGACACCAACTCCTCGCCTCAACTCTCCTCTACACCTCCGCTCCACCCCGCGTTTTCCCAGCCCTCTCAGCAGCCGTCCCCGTCCCCTCCTTCACGCACCCTTCCTCCTCGCTTTCTACCCTGCAAACACTCAAGCAGATGTCTAATTCGCTTCCCAAGGGCGATTGGGAGATCACGCCTGTGCAAGCGTGGTTTAGGTTGGTAGATAAGTATGGGATTAGGTTTTTGATGGAGGAAGGGAGGATTGAGAGGTTGAGGAGGGCGTTGGTTGGGTTGGTGGAGCGTTTTGAGTTTGGGGTTGTGATGGTTGAGAGTGAGTTGTGGGAGGTTGTTAGGAGGTGTTTTTTGGATGTTGCGTTGAGGGAGGAGAGGGAGGGGGTGAGGGAGTGGATTTGATGCACTGAGAGGGGGTGTAATATGGCTATTTCGACTTGAAACTTTAGCTTATAGGTGATGTGTACTTTAAGAAGCCTGGTCATTGCTCTTTATACACTATGAAAACTATCTATACTAACTGTCTAATATAATTAATCAAATTGTCTTAGTACACGTGGGGAAATAGAAGCAAAATTTAATACTTATCCAAACTATTTACACTATTTAAGATGTGCGAAGGTTTCAAAAACAATAATATTATAGGCTAGGTTACACAGAGTAGTTACCACGTCTCTTATCCTAAGTCTCAATATTGGCCTCCCTATACGACTAGCTTTTCTAGAATTCAAAGTATGCCCAAAGTTGGAGGTGATCAATTCTCGCTTACCTACTATTCCACTTCTAAAATCCTAGTACTGATACATTAACCACTGTAAAGAGAATAACCAGAAAGCTGGACTCCTACCTAGAAGAACACACAGGAATACAACCCTTCACTCCACCTCCTAAATAGCGAAAGACACATCTATCTCCAAGACCCATAATCGGAGGAGCGTCAGGCCAACTACATCCCCACGAGAAGGAAATATGTTTCTAAGCTAACAGATAACAAACCCCTCAGTTATCAAGGCGGCGCTGCGACACAACTGGTATCCGCTATCCAATCCATCCACCAATCCTCATCCTCAACCCTCAGCATTCACTCACCTCACCACAATCTCGCTTACCCACCCACCAAACACCGCCACCACCACCACCATCACCACCAGCACATCCAATCTCCCCCTTTCCGCCAAAAAAGATTCCAAAACCAAATTCAAAAACAGCAAAACTCAAGGCCGTACCTTCAATCCTGTTATTTCAAGGAGAAGTGCTAGGCCTATAGAAAATCCCCGGGATAGGGGCAGGGATTTTTAAAGTTAACATGCGATGTCGGGGATGTGTACCGCTCACACCGGTACCCAACTACATTGGCTAATCCTGGGTTCGGTGTGAGATGGTTGGGGGTGTCTTATTTGTCTTGATACAAGTGTTGTGTGGTTTGTGGGTCAGGTGGGGGTCCAGGGGATGGAGGATTATTTGGATTGTTTGGATTATTTTGATTCTTGGAGGGAGGTGGGTGAATTTGTTGTATACCAGACAGTTGAAGGAGTATTCGGCGGAGAAGGTCAAATGGTATGTGGTACTCGGATGTGATATGGTAAGAGTGTACAGTACAACAGGTAGAGATTGAAGACGAGGACCCTCTTCCACCTTTATACATCAGACATCAGATTCTGGTTCTTCTTTGTATGAGCAGAGGAGTTCTTGGATCTTGTTCTTATTGTTTATTATCTATCCAGATATCCATCCCACCTTGGGAGATAATATCGCACATTCTCATACACCAAAAACGTCACCCAAGTAGACGGCAAAACCCTCAGAACATTCGTCCCAAGACCTTTATAGAACCCCCTCCACCCCTCTTCCTGCCAAACTTTAGTCGCCACACCCCTAATCCCCTTTCCAAACTTCTCATCCGCGTGATAGGTTTGGATCCTGCTTCGTATAACTTGATACGGGTAAGTAACCGTCCCAGCAGTGATCTTCGCCAGTCCACTAATAATCAATGTCGCCCTAGTTCCTAGCTTTTCCTCCTCTTCCCCTCCTCCTACTTTGTCTTTAGCGATGAATTTCTTCCACCCATTCTTTAGTGGTTCATAAACAGCGAACTGTACAGCTCCATGAACATTTCCCACCATACTGATACCTATACCCCTATAAAACCCCCTTAACCCCTCTGATTTGTACAAATGCCTCGTGCCATGTACAACCCCTTGATAAGCGCCTTCAGAGCCTTTATCTGAGCTCAGCATTCGCGTTTTGAGGACCCATATTGGATTCGTGGAGAGGGTTATGATGGTTCCTGAGATTCCGGAGGCGAGGAAGTAGTCCAGTGGCGAAAGTCCTACCGTCTCCCTTCCAGTTTGGTTGCCTTTGAGTGGTGTATTGCCTGGGCTGGTAGAAGACGAGGAAGGTCGATTATGAAACTCCCAAAGCTTCCTTTCAACTACACTCTTGAAATAAAAGAAGATAGCCCAAGAACTCGCATTCCCAATTAAGTTCGGCGTCAATCCCCTATACAGACTTTGTACCGGTCGTTCATTCTGCAAAAGCTTTTTTAGAATCCCATATGCGCTGACGGGAGACGAGGAGGTATTGCGTTGGACTGGTACATGGGTTAGGTTAGCAGGGGCACATTGAGGGGTAGGACAGATTATTTACTTTGCAGACGCGTTTTGATTACATCTAGCGGATGGACGGCGAGGGTTGATATTGTGCCCGCCGAGAGGCCTGCTATGGTCTCGACCAGCGCGGGGGAGATACGCGCATGGTCTTGCATCGGGGGTTGTGTGGTGCTTGGGGATTTCCCATGTTGGAGTTGTGGTGGAAAAGTTTGGGGGAGCTTGAGCTTTGAGCTTTGAAATCAGAAAGGAGCCGAGGTTACTTTTCTTTGTGAGAGTAAGTGCTCTTGTATTCACAAATCCTTCAGTTTAAGATAATCAAGAGGATTATCAGATGCTCTCTCTTCTCTTTTTAGTGGTCATACGTTATTTAGTACAATTTTCAAAAGGTATGTGTTTCCAGCAGTAAAGACCGAAGCTCTGAGAGCCATCATCCTGAAATGCAGCATCCTATCACTGTCCTGAATGATACCAAAGAAAGCGCTCATATGAAAGACTTTTCAAAGTGGTGATTGCACTTCATTGCGCTTGATATCTTGGTACAATTATATTGTTACACGGCGTGCCAACCGTCTCATCCCATAGTTTTCGTATCCATTCCCCAGAACAAACGCCTTCCTATGCTACAACCATTTGGCCCTTTCCCAAATGGAAATGGCGCCCAATCGTAAAACTGCTTGACTTCATCCCATATTCCCATCGTGTAGTTTGTGAGAGATTCGTAAATTCGGCATTTCGAAAAGAACGTTTATGCGAGTGGAGAGAAGAGTCTGTTCACATGATTAGGACGATAAAAGTGGTGTATAGAGGAAAGGGTGTTGGTATACCTGATGAGCGATGGTCGAGGCTCGCTGCGTGTATATCCTGTTTTGGTCAGTTATATTGACTTAACAAAGATTCGGTGCGTCATACCAAGGTAGACAATTAGAGGAAGGTAGCCACTGAATTCTTGTTAGCATATGTTCTTTTGCAACGCAAATGCAGATGAACGTACTAATGAATTGCGACACGAGAGAGATCAATGAACTTTCCAATGCGCTCCTGCTTTGAGGTTAGTTGATGGCACAGAGATGGCATCAGAGGAGTATAGACCTTGGTTTCTTCTGAGAGTTGCATATTGGTGGTGGATTTTGTATGAAGCTGAAAGAGAATCAGTAATGCAGCGCATAATGGTTCTAGTAGTTTGTGAAGTACTTACAGAGCTTGGATGTTCTGTTCAATGTTCAGTGGAGATGGAAGTGAAAGTTCAGTTCAATTGAAAAAGTAGAAGACAAGGCTCCATCACATGCCTCAGGCTGCAGGGGTGGACGAAGAATCTCCAGTCAGATGAACTTGCAACTACCTAGTGAAGCTTTGTCAATGTCAATGAGGAGATTCCATATCAATGCAACGTGATTGGATTTTGAAAGAAATCAAGCTTCCAGAATCACTTCAGAAAATCTGTTTGGTAATGGTTTATGGGCCAATATTGTGGATATCAAACCTCCATGTCACGTGCATATCAAGTACCTAAAAATATTCCCAGCCTCGCAGCCTCGTATCGACAACACCAAGTCTTCAATACTCGATCTGCCAAAAGCTTCCTCTTGCGCCCTTAAACTAATATCTCGGTTCTGCTTACTCCAGAGTCATTACGTGCTTTTGACGCGATCCAAAAAGAACATTGACTTTTTCATTTCCAACCTAATTTGCTCAACATGTCTGGAGCGCGACATTGGTATTTCTCGCCTCTCCATCTCTCAAATTCTTTCCAAATACTAACGCATACCACAGGGAGCAAGACAAAGAAGCAACAGTATATATAGGAAACATCGACGAGCGAGTAAGCGATAGCCTAGTATGGGAGCTCATGCTCCAAGCCGGCCGAATAGTCAATGTCCATCTCCCTAAAGACCGCGTTACTCAAACACACCAAGGTTATGGATTCGTGGAATTCATCAGTGAGGAGGATGCCGAGTATGCTGCGAGGATCATGAACCAAGTCAGATTATATGGAAAGCCAATTCGGGTAAATAAGGTATGTTGCGCCCATAATTCCATTTCCCCCCGAGGCATTTATTGATGACAGGAATAGGCTTCGGCAGATAAACAGAAAACAGTCGAAGTTGGCGCAGAACTTTTCATTGGAAATTTGGATCCGATGGTGGATGAGAAGACGCTCTACGACACATTCTCGCGATTTGGCTCACTTATTTCTCCTCCGAAGATTGCGCGCGACGAATCTGGGTTATCGAAGGGCTACGGATTCGTTTCTTATTCCAATTTCGAAGCTTCAGATGATGCGATTGCAAATATGAATGGTCAGTATTTGATGAGTAAGGATATCAGCGTACAATATGCCTACAAGAAGGACGGAAAGGGAGAAAGACATGGCGATGAAGCAGAGAGAATGCTTGCAAGTCAAGCAAAGAAACACAATATCGTTCTCGACGTACCGCAGATGCCGGCCCAACTTCTTCTTAGTGGAAATGTACCCAATGCTCCAGCAGCAATGCTCGATCCCCAAATGGGAGGTCAACAAATGGGAGGACCACCTCCAGGAGCCATGCCACCCGGGTTCGGTGGGCGTCCAAATGGGAATTACAACTCTGTTCCTCCTCCACAGCAGAGACCAAATCAACCACTTCCTCCTCCGCCTTCTGGGCTACCTCAAAGACCGCCTCCTTCTCAAGCTGGTTATGGGGGTCCTCAGGACTTTCATCCGCCTGGATTCGTTCCTGGGCAAATGCCTCCTGGATTTGGACCACCTCCTGGTCAGATGCCAGCTGGGTTTGGACCTCCTGGAGGTATTCCTCCAGGATTCATGCCGCCTCCTGGGTATCCGCCTCAGCAACAGCAACAACAGGGCCCACCTGGATACAATAGAAGGTGATGAAAGCAGACCTAGTTCAAGTAGATTGATTGAGGGATATCAAAGATAAATTGCCAAAATCTAGATATGGCTTTTTATAGTGGGGATGACGCCAAAGACAACCAGCGCCAAATTTGTTGAAGTGGGGCAATAGGGTGGGAATACAGGACTCTTTTATTATAGGGAGACATTAATTCAAGACCCAGCTATTGTGTATAAAAAGAAATGTAAAATAATACCACATTCAGTTTGAGTTTAAAGTAGCCATTTGAGTGTCAAAGGGTACTTCTTTTCGTACATTATGTATCCTTGATTATGATACAATTGGGTAGCTGATAAAAGTGGTTAGGGAAGCTCGTACCCAGTATTAAGAGATGCTGCTGTGACAGTTATTGACTCTTGTCTGAGAGACCAAGAAAAACGTTTCTTTTTTTATGTAAGACCTTTCGTCACTTTTCTTAGTCGCTTGGTGTTATTGCTTTGAGTTATCAGTAGCTTATTGGAGAAAAGGTTTCTTTATATAAACTACCATGGTACAGTACAGTATTGACTAAGTGAGCAATGGACTTACTTCAACTTAAAAAGAGAGCGCTTAATTTACGTACTTTAACAGATTACCTGTGACACTGGATAGTATATAGAGCATTTAATCAAGAAATACCTAAGCTTAATACAATCATGTCACTGGAAGTGAGGAATATCATACAGTTAGTGAGCCTCGTCAACAAGGCTGCGCATAGACCCAATGAGGTACATACTATAGAACCAGATTGCACCCCACTATCTTCAATACATCTACAACTCCCAATACTACCCTCATTCTCAATCCCAATTCTCAATTACAAAAATGGATACACCATAAACGAAATTGAAACTCAACCTTACAACTAGGAAATACAAACGTCTGATTGGACTCCATTTCGGGAATAAACCTCCAAAATGGCAACTACGCTCCTCTCCCCCACCACAACAACCACATCCGCTGAAGCCTTTCTCGCCCCTCTTCCCCAAGTCCGCCAATTCCACCGCCAGCTAACTACCTCCATCGATGAAAAGAATGCCCGTCTCCGCACCCTCGTTGGCGGCTCCTACCGCCAACTCCTCGGCACGGCAGAGACGATCCTCGAAATGCGACGCAATATAGATATCGTAGAGGAAAAACTAGGGCGCGTGGGGAAAGGATGTGGGAGGTCTGTTGTAGGCAAGATGGCAGAGGGATTGGGTGGTTTGGATGAGGAGAGTGGGAACAGAGAAAGGGTACGCTTGGAGTGGGCTGCGAGGATGAAAGTTTTGGGTCAATGTGGACTGGTTGTTGGACGGCTGATTAAAAGGAAGAGTGAGGGGAGGATGGAAAGGGGAGCGAGGTTGGTTAGTGCTGCGAAGATTTTGGTGCTTAATAGATTGTTGGCTAAGAGTACGGGGGATTTGGCGAAGGGGAGGAAGAGAGAGGATAGGGAGGCTGTGGAGGAGGCGAGGAGGAAGTATGGCGTTTCAAGGAGGAGGGTGTTGGGTGCTATTGAGAAGATGTTAGAAAGGACTGATGGGGAGGAGTCGAGAGAGGATCTGTTGCTGGCTCTTTCGGCCTACAGCCTGGCCACGGGTTCTGGGGCCAAAGATGTACTAAGGTACTTTTTGAAGGTTAGGGGTGAGGCTTTGGAGCTTGCGTTTGAGGACGACGAGAAAGCTTCGGGGATTGTCAAAGCACTCGAGCTTTACAGTAAGACGTTACCTGATGTTCAAGCCGTGGTTATAACACGACTGCCCCAGGCATTGGCAGCTTTGAAGTCGAAGCCATTGCTGAAAGACAATCGCGTCAGAGAAATCGAGGCTCTTCGACTTGATGTTTGTGAAAAGTGGTTTGGGGATGATATTTTGTTCTTTACTCCCTACATCAGACATGATGACTTGAGCTCTCAACTGGCAGTGGACACACTCAAAAGCTGGGCGACGAAAGCATCAGAAGTTTTGTTACAAGGATTCGGCAAGTCTTTGCAAAAGATTCATGAATTCAAAGCAGTCGTTGATTTGAGAACGAAAGTTCTTCAAATCTGGATAAAAGATGGTGGGAAAGCAAAACGTTTCGATCCCTCGATCGTTCTAGACGGCCTACGAAAAGTCATCAACGACCGTATGGTCCAAATCCTCGAGTCTCGAATCAAGAAACTCCATCTAGTCGCCACAGAAGTCGAAGGAACATTAGAAACCTGGCACGAAAGCAAGGACGTGGCCCATGGAAGTCTTTGGGACGAAGAAATGCTAGAAATGGACGTCTCCAACGGCGCCTCTCTTTTCCGGGAAGCAATCATCGCCCAAGCCCACGGGCGAAATGACGCCGTATCACGAGTCTACAAAGGATATCAAACCTGGCGAAAACTAGTCGATGAAATCGTCGTAATCATCTCACAACTTAAAAAACAACGCTGGGACGATGATCTCGAGGATATCGAAGATGATGATACTCTAGAAACTAGAAACCACCTCCTCAGTATGGAGGACCCGAATATGCTCCAACAACACCTGAACACTGGTCTTGAAAAGGCCTACAAAGGTCTCCACGAAAAATTAGGGACTCTCCTCATATCATACGAAGACAATGATGAGATAGGTCCTATATCAATCTATATCATCCGTCTTATTCGGGATCTTCGCTCGTCCCTTCCTCCGAACCAAAATCTTCAGGCTTTTGGCCTGGCGCTTATTCCTATGCTACATGAGAGGTTAGCGTCAACGGTTTCCGTCGAGCCATTGAAGGTGTTTGAAAAAAGTCTTAGGAGGAAAAAGGTTGCGGGCAGAGCTTTGTGGGAAGGGAGCCAAGAGTTGCCTGTTCAGCCTTCGCCCGCTTCTTTCAAATTGCTAAACAATTTGACGCTGGCAATGGCGGACGCTGGGAGTGATTTGTGGTCGAAGACTGCGATTGAAGTGCTGAAAGAGCATGTTTGTGAGGAATTGGAGGGTTCTTGGAGTGCGGGTTTAAAGAGAAGGAAGGAGGAGGCTGAGGCTTTGATTGTTGCTACGACATCCAAATCAGAGCCAGAACCAGAACCAGAACCCGAGTCCGAAGCTGAAGTCAAGAAAGAAGAAAAAGAAGTCGAAAAGGAGGGTGATGATCAACCAACATCCCCAATATCCCCAACATCCCCAAAATCCCAAGACCCAAAGTCCCCCTCTCCAGCCCAACAAACCGCATCACCTCTCCCACAAGCCCCAAACCCCCAAACTGAGAAAGACATCCTTATCCAAGCACTCTTCGATACCCTCCTCCTTCAACAAGCCTTTGAAGTTCCAGATTCCATGTCCAATGGGCTGACTACTCTCAGCGAGGAAATCAGGAAGGAAATAGAAGGGGGCATCGATGATAGCTCTAAGAAGAGACTCGGTAACAGTGCGAGGGAGTACTGGAAGAGGACGGGTTTGTTGTTTGGACTTTTAGGGAGTGGGGTGTAGAGTTGATTGGAGTTTGGATAGGGGAAAGGAGGTCCGGTGGGGTGGGTAGAGAGGTAGAGGACGTTGAGTATAATAGAATGGAGTTGTTGTACACTCTTGTTCTTCTTCTTCTAATGATTATGATGACGGAATTTCTACTTATATTACATGTGATTAGCTGACTACCCTTGGTCTTCTTTGTAAGTCTTGATATGCTGTATAATGAGCTTAGGTAAGAACATATCTTTTCCCATTAATTAGTACTCGAGTACTTATATAATATAACTGTAAGAAACTTAATATATACTTAATATAGGGACTCTCGGCTAAGTCTAAGTATATGGTCCGCCCGCTCGAAAGCCGGCTAGTAAGCTAAGGACACTTTAGAATTTTAGGCCGATACTACTTAAGTGATTTATGAGTTTAATTAAATACTTAGCGAGATAAGTTAATTAGCGAAGTTTACTACTCGAGTTAAATAGATTAGGCACTAGCTACTACTTAACCTAACTACTCGAATTTAATACGATAAATCGAATTAATTAAGGGGTATCTTAGGTACTTATAATATATTAAGGGGTATTCTAGTTAATTACCGTTATAATAAACTAAGGGGTATCTCGGTTAATTACCATTTATATTAAAGCTAGGGTTTTACGTGCCGCAGATACAGGGGGATTCGATGGGGTCCTACCCACGTAAACACCGAATTTAGATTTTAAGCGAGAGACGACAATACCGTCATCTTTTCTTCATACCAAAAGATCTTTAATCCAACACGTCTGGACGCGTGTAGACTCGCAGCGTGAACAAACTGCCTGCCACATATTCCGTACTATCGAACGCCATACTCCCGCATAATCTCATTACCATCTACCTCCTCGTGCAACTGAAATAAATACCTATCAAACTCCCCCGCAACCTTAACAACATGCTTCAGATGCCCGTAATTCATCTGCACCTCTTTATACATTGCCAACTGGCGGGCCGTCGTAATCGCGTTCCGGATCTGTCGGCCGTTCATTTCCTCTTTGGCGAGATCGTCGAGGTGTTTCTTTAGATCGGCCGTGTCGGTTCCTAGGTCTCGGTTGGCGGCCTTGGAGGTGGATAGGAAGGAGTCTTGTCGCTTGGGTTTGCTGACGGTTCCTGCTCGATGGGTTGCGGAGAAGCCTTTGAGGCGGTTGATGAAGTTCTTCCAGATTGAATGGCGTTGCCAGAGTTTCAGGTTTTTGTAGTGGAGGGCGAGTTGGATGCGGGATTTGAAGGCTTCGTCGAATGTGCCGACGCGGTTGCTGGTGAGTATCAAGATTCCTATAGGAGAGTAATTAAGTGTCTAGTTATGATACCAGTGAGACAGATGACTTACCGTCATAATACTCAAGTACACGTAGAAACACTACGGAAAACTATTAGTCTTGAAACAAAAGACTTGTAGATTTCTCAATACCAGAGACCAGCGCATTTCTTTGCAAGTCATGCAAACTCCGCTGTTCCAGGAAAACATCTGCTTCGTCGAGAAGAACGACTAATTTCGTTAGTGCCTGCTGTGAAGACTGAATTTGAGCTACTTGCCGCATTGCCAGGTCTTTCCCAGCAGAAGGATTATCTTCAAGTATTATTATTCAGGTGCTTGTTTCAGTAGAATAGCCAAGAGTAAACAGATGGCAGGAACGAGTGTTAATTGCGATAAGGAACTAACTAAGCTACTAAGAAGTAGGTTATTTATACCCTAGCTAGGCTACGCACAGTCCACTAGTAGAGTTGCCTAATTAGGCAACTATAGACTATAACTTAAGAGAGAATGACTTGTAAGTAAATAGTAACTTGTTAGGTAGATTACCTTATAATATACCCCTTTTCTATAACTATAAGTTGCTAAACAACTAAACTACACCTACTAGTAAATAATTAACTAATTAAGCCCTGGGGTAAATCTATTATATTTAATAACTTTATAAACTCTTTATACTTAACCTTATCTAAGACCTTCGTTAATCAATCTTAGTATAAGACCCTCCAGGGAGACTCTTACAGCCGTCGTGCGGGCCAGAACTCGTATCGCTCGTATTGCCGCAAAGCCACACTTAGCCACACGGGGAGCCGCACCGAGAGCCACATGCGCACTTGAGCCTCACCTGTACACTTTGCGCCTACGTAGCCATATACGTATATGTCGGAACAACATATAAATAAGATAGATTTGTAGGGTTAATTAAGTACTAACTTATTCTCGAAGCACATGTCTTTCCAACATGTGGAAGTGCCGCTACGTAGCTAGGAAGAGCCGTATACGTTGCGACGAGTTTTGGTGTTCCTGCACGACCTACTTTTCCTTCCTAAAGTAGTAGGTGCTCCTACGCTTTACCTAAAGTAGTAGGTGCTTAGAGTTTAACGTTCTAGCCCGTACAAAGGATTCTAGAGTCTCTTTTAGGGATCCGAGGAACGAGGGAAAAATCTATATCGAGACGAGAGTATTATACTAGATTGTTCGTTAATCTATTAGATAGGAGCTTCGTGCTCAACTTAGTTATCAATCTTATCATATTAGTTTGACATCTTTGATACAAGTAACGAGTTCACTTCCAAGTGAACAACCCGATAGTCTTCTTCTTATCATAGCATACCAACCAGCGAACACCCAGCCAAGTTTAGTTAGCCAGTTTGAGTATTCGTTACACTTACGCTATAATTAGTAGGTTTAAGGTCTAGTAATAGAATTAACTAAGGGATAGCTCTTATTTTTTAAGCCTTTTAGATATTCTTTTAATTTTAGTAGTAGAATTAGTACTCTTATTCTACTTAATAGAATTATTCTTATTAAAAGTATTATTTAACTTTTATATCTTTTACTTAAAGTTATATCTCTTATTATATACTATAAGTAGAATTACTATATAATATAGGTTAGTTAAAGGATCTAAAACAGCTAGCTTTTAAGCCTTATTATAAGAGTTAAAGAAGGTATCTACCTTACTATATATCTTACCATCTAGTCCTAAAATAAATCCCTCTTTATTAAATCTAATATTAAAGAAGCGAACTATTCGTTCGTATACTTCGAGAGAAGGAACCTAGATATACTAGATTCGATCTCCTTTATATCTAATAAGAATATCTTAATAAGCCTATGATTTAATCTTCTTACTAGCTACTTAGTTTTATAATAGAATATAAATAAAAGTCTTGTACCTAAGTACTCGAAAGTACTTAACTATAGGCTTATTATCTTTATTAGGATTAAATATATTAAAATAAGCTTTATATAAAGTTACTCCTAAAAAAAATAGAATTAGCTAACTTATTAGTTACTTTAATAATAGCCTTACGGATTTTACCCTATAATTTTAAATTAATATCTTAGTTAAGAATTATACTTCTAAGTCTTTTAATAATAGTACAATTTACTCTCTTAGTAAGACTATCTTACTCTAGTAAATATAGTTTTATAATCTTCTTAATAATTCTAAATTCCTTAGTATAAGCCTTAATCTTATTAACCGAGTATTCCTTTCTACTATCTAGACGCTAGCTCTTAATCTTAGTACTATATTATATAGATTAAAGCTTAGTATATCTTAATATAAGTTTATATCTTACTCTTCTTTTCTAATAAATATATAGTATAATACTAAAATACTTTATCTATTATAAGAGTAGTATATTTATAACTCTTATAAGCTGCTAGGCTAATCTTAAATATATTAATATATAACTTTCTATAAACCTTCTTAATTTATAAACTAGGATTAATTAATTTCAGTCTAGAGTATATAGGCTTTCTAGTTTTATAAAGATTATAAATTAACTTTCTTTAAACTAGTACTAGAATAAAGTAAACCTTTATATTCTTAATAATCTTTTAAGTTATATATATAGTATCTATACTTAAATAGACTAGAAAATAATAATATAAGTATAAGGTTAGATAAGCCTTCTAAATTACTATAGGCGTAAGTATAGTAATAATATTCTCTAGTATTAATTTAGGTATAAAATCCGCTAGTAAATAAAGTCTATTATATAGTAGGAAGATATTTAAAGCTTTAATAAGATAGTATTAATTATTAAGCAAACCCTAAGTATTATTAATTAATTAATTTCATAAGTAACTATTTTTAATTACTTTACTATACTAATTAAAGAGGTTTTTAGAAAATAAATTTACTCCTCTATCTAGAATCTAATAGTAGTTATTTAAAACTACCTTATAGTATTCTATAGTACTAATCTTTATATAAAGAACTATAGTACCTTTTCTAAGAATATAAACCTTTCTACCTACTATAGTTATATATCTATATTATTAAATAGTTAACTTACTAAAGTAGGTTTAGTTATAGTAAATATAAGTATTAGTACTAGTATTATAAAGGAACTTAGTACCAATTACTATAGAGGAAGTTATATATCTAAAAAATATTTTATATAATAAGCTAGTATAACTAAACTAATATTTAAGACTATTCTTCTCTTTACTTTTATCTTTTAATAATTCTTTTTATTAGTATTACTAGCGAAGTAATAGGATACAATATAACTTTATTTAGTTATATTACGTATATTATTCTAAAGGAGTATATAGTATTATTACTAATATATAGAGTATATACTATACTATCTAAGATAGTAGTACGTAACCGCCCTCCTTTCTATCTAAGACCTAATTATACCGATACTAGTACTACTTTAAAAATAGTACAAATAGTATAAATAGTATAAAGTACTTTAAATAATAAAAGAAACTTATAGTTCTACCCTTTCCTTAGCCTTTTTAGTCTTTCTAGCCGCTCTTTCTACATATTCGTTGGGCTTGTACTATATCCTGTTCGAATTAATAAGTAACTTTAAGCTACCGTTATACTTCGACTTAGTTATCTCGTCGGCGGGGTTATTAGGTCCTCGAATCTATAGGAAGTTATTAATCTCTCTTCTTTTAAAGGCTTTTCGAATTACTATTAGATTTACTATAAGGCGTTTCTCCTTTGTTATACTAGGCTTTATTACGTAATTATAAAGTAACTTAGAATTAGTATAAACTTCGAGTATTATTAGTAAATCGAGTATTATTAGTAAATCGAGTATTATAAGTAAATCGAGTATTATTAGTAAATCGAGTATTATTAGTAAATCGAGTATATTATTAAGAGTCTCCTTTATAAATATAGCGATATTAAAACTACTACTTAAGGTATATAATTCAAAGGCTAGAATACTCTTTATAACTCTCTTATATTTTATTAAACTCTAATAGAGTAAATCTATACTCTTACTAGTATTTATAAGAACTAAAACGAACCTAAGTTATAATATCAAATCCTTTAAATTTATGAAGGCGCTATTATAAAATAATATAAGTTTTATTATCTTTTCGTCGAGTAGTATATACTTTAGTCCTCGAGCTAAGTTATCCTTTATCTATTTAAGCCTTTTATTTAATTAATCGATATTCTCCTTACTAGACTCCCTTGTTTATATAGCGATAGATAGATCGAATATAGCTTTAGGCTATATAACTATTACTAGATATACTCCGCGAGCTTATTACGATTTATATTATTATTAAGTCATTAGTTATTCTCTAAACTTACCTCGAGTTCTATAAGAATCTTTAGGTTTATTATAGACTTACTTAATCTACTTAGTCTATTTATCCTATATAAATAATAGCGAATTATCGGGTCCTATTAATATAATCCCCCTATTAAACTTAACTAGGTACTTATCCGTTAATTACTCTCTAGGCTTAGTAGTTAAATTCGCGGTTACTAATTCGTTCTATTCGCGTCGAGCTAATTCGGGATTCATAAGTATAAGAGTATCGTTTATTTAGAGCCTAATAACTCCGCGTACTTTTAACTTATTTATGTATAAAAGATAAGTGTTATATATTAAGATTTTATATTTTAACTAGTTAATATAGAATTAAAGGTATATTTTAAACTAGTAGTTACTAGCCTTAGGTATATTATACTATAGCTTCTTTATATATAATACTTTACCCTTTTACTAAGGTTAAAGTAGATTCTTTAAAAGATAAGTATAAAATTAGTGGTTTAGCTTAGTAAATAACTAAGTACATACCTATATAATATTATAAAGAAAGATATCGAATTTACTAAAACCTAAGAGGGTAGTAATTATAAGAATTAGTCTTTAACTTACCCTTTATATAGTAGGTAATTCGGTTAAAACAAGGGACTTTCCTTAGTTACCCTACGCCTAGATAACTAGTCTTGATTTTATATACTCCTTAAAAGTACTTTTGTTTCTAGCTTCTCTAATAAACTTCGAGTTAAATATATATACTCCTAATAGTATACTATTCTTATTAATAATATTAATAGCTTTATAGTTTATAAGTCTATTAACCTTAATCTTATTCGTAGCTTTTATCTTATTTATTAATTTATTATACTATAATAAATAGATATTTTCTTTCTAAGGTCTCCTTAGTTCTTATTTCTTATCCTCTTTTTATAGTCCCCCTAGTCTTCGCTTTAGTAGTACTATAGGAGGTACTATATTAGGTATATTAATAAGTATTTATAGAGCTAGTTTAGGTTAGTAGTAAGATCTT